ATGGTGGTTATTAAGGTCGAGGGGGGGGTGCTGGGGTTTGGGGAAAAAGAAATCAGAGGGAGGGGGAGAATTCGGGAGGAAGAAGGGGGAGGGGGTCGGGGTTGCAGGCTAAGGTGAAGAAGAAATCGACGGGGGAGAGGAGAGCGTAGAGGGGAGAGAGAGATTTTTTATTTATTTAAGTTTTTAATATTTTATTCAATTTAAAATTTAAAAAAAGTGAAGATGTGGGCCCCATAATGCCACATAGGCAACTAACGGAGAGATTTGACGGAAACCTTAACAGCGGAACCACATTGTAACAAATTTGAAAGACCAGGGTATGTGATTGTGAAAATTAAAAACATAGGCACTAACATGTCTTAAGGGTGTAACCAAAGGGTACTAAACTGTAATTAATCCTATTTCTTAATACTCCCCCTCAAGTTGGAGAGTGAATATTGTGAAGCCCCAACTTGTCACGTAGTGTCACAAATTGATCCTTTCTCAAGGCCTTTGTAAATACATCTACTAACTAGAAGCATGTAAGTACATTTGAAGGACGAATCATTCTAGCTTGCAGTTTTTCTCAAACTATGTGACAGTCTATTTCAATGTGCCTTATACGCTCATGAAAAATAGGATTTGCTGCAATGTACAAAGCTGCTCAGTTATCACACAAAAATGGCGTAGGATCTATTTGTGAAACTTTTAAATCTTGAAATATATAGCACAACCAAGTGAGCTCCAAACATGTATTAGCCATTGCTCGATATTTAGCTTATGTTGCTGATCTTGAAACATTGGCTTGTTTCTTGGATTCCATGAGATGAGAGAATTTCCAAGGATTGTAACAAACCTTTTTGTGGCACAACAACCACCCCTATTTGAATCACAAAAGGTTTTAAGTCAAGATTATTGGTGGTAAAAAGTAGTAGATCTAGGCCAGGAGTACCTTTGATATATTTGAGGATTCACATGGCAGCATCACAATGGGCTTTTCAAGGCTTATGCATAAATTGACTCAGTATTTGAACTGAATAGACTATGTCAGGCCTTGTGACAGTAAGATAAATTAGTTTGCCAACCAATCTTCTATACTTAGTTGGATAATTTCGTAATGCTTCATCTGTGGGAGTGACTTTCAAATTATGTTCCATAGGAAACTTATCTGGGCGTACACCTAGGAGTCTTGAATCTTGCAAAATATCTAGTGCATATTTTATTTGAGACATGAAAATACATTTCTTGGAACGGGAGAATTCAATACCCAAAAAATATTTTAAATCTCCGAGATCTTTGATACGAAAGCATTTGAGGAGGAATGTTTTGAGACGTTCCATTGCTTGAAGATTATTTCCTATGAGAAGTGTGTCATCAACATAAATAAGGACTGCGGTAAATGGAGTACCTGGACCCTTGGTGAAAAGGGAATAATTAGCTTTTGATTGGTGATAACCAATTTTCTGAACGGTATCTAAAAAAGTGGAGAACCGGTTTCAGGATGCTTGTTTGAGTCCATAGAGAGACTTGTTGAACCAACATATAATGTTCTCACCCCTGTAGGTGAAGACCAAGTGAATGCCCTATGTACACCTCTTCATGAAAATTGCCATGAAGGAAGGCATTCTGGACGTCTAATTGGTGAATGAACCAATTGTGGGCAGCAACCATAGTAAGAAGACATCGAAAAGTAATGAGTTTGGCTATAGAGGAAACAAATCTCAAGATAATCAACGCCTTCAACCTGAGTATATCCCTTAGCAACAAGACGAGCTTTGTAGCGCTCAATGGTGCCATCAGACTTGTATTTGATTTTGTAAACCCATTTGCATCTGATCGGTTTATGACCCGTAGGGAGTGGAACCAAACTCCATGTATTATTGTGCTGCAATGCTTATAATTCTACATCCATGGCTTGGTGCCAATTTGGATTACGGATAGCCTGAGCATATGATGAGGGTTCTGTGTGACCTGTAATGTTAGCGAGAAAAGCATAATGGGTAGAAGAGAAATGGGAGTAAGAAAGAAAATGAGAGTGAGGATATCGAGTACCTAATACAAAACGAGGTGCTGGAGCGGATTGATTGACTTTGTTGGACATGTGGTAGTATTGATGCCTAGCCGGAGGTTGCTTAGGACGAAGAGACTGTCGTGGAGGAATGATGCATTGTGTGGAAGGATTTGACTCGGGGGTTAAAAAAAGAAAATCTGGAGGGTGTGGGGTCGGCTGGTTGTGAAGGCGAGTTAGATGATGTGGGCTGAAGGGACAGGGGTGGAGTAGGGTTGGTGGGGCATGTTGGAGCTACCGGCGAGTGTATGAGGGAAGCGGGCCTGAGTGTGTCAGGCATTGGGGCATGCAAAGATCACAGCAGGGCGTGCTACGGTTGGAGGGATGATGTGTTGGTGGAAAAAGGGTCTGATTGGGGCCCGCTATCAGGTAGGTCAGGGAGAAAAGGGGGCAAAACAAAAATAGTTGAAAAATGAGAGAAAGGAAAGGTGGTTTCGCAAAATTTGACATCACGACTGACAAAAAAATTGTGAGTTTCCAAATCATAAAGCTTGTAACCTTTTTGACCATTGGGATATACAACAAAAAGAAAACTTTTGGCACATGGGTCAAATTTATGGATAGGATGAACAATGGTTGCATAACATAGACAACCAAAAACTCTCTAGTGATCAAGCGATGGTGGATGATTGTTCAACAATTCAAAAGGGGATTTAGTGGATAATAGTGGTGATGGTAGTCGATTAATAAGTTATATAACAGTCAAGAAACAATCACCCCAGAAAGTAAAGGGTAAATGGAATTGGAAATGCAAAGCAAGGGCTATGGTGAGAATATGTCGATGCTTGCATTCAACAACCCCATTTTTGTTTGGAGTGTAAACATAGGTGCATTAATACTCGATGCCATTAGATCATTTACCCTTGATGACTTTTTCTTGATTTCTCAAGAATGAACACCTTTGTTGGAAAGGCCTTTTGTTTCTCTTGATTTTGACTCCTTCACCTTAAGGCTCCAAGATTGGAGTACTCTACCTCACCAGACCAAATGCTCCTAGAGATGAAGAGAAGGCAATAAAGAAGTATGGATGCTAGTCTACTTCTTGATTGGACCAATTTTTGGTTTATGGAAGATGAGATACAAAGATGATCACTCATCAACCAAAGTAGGAAACCAAAAACCCTAGCTAGGTTTTCTCCAACAATTTGCTTATATAGGACAACACAAAAGGCAATTGGGTGGGTATTGGGGCTCCATTTGGTTCGTAGGTCATGTCATCTTCTGCCACTTATCCCTTGGACCCAATAGCCTTTTGGGCTATTTTGTCCCTTTCCTTTTAAATCATATTTAAAAGCCCAATCCAATATTTATATATGTCAATATTAATTCCATAATTAATCTTTTAATTATAATTTAACTATTAAATTATAATTACAGTCTTACTTAATTGACTCGATCGAACTATTTGACTTTGGTCAATTGCTCCGGTCAACATGTTGACTTTTTACTGTTGACTTTGACATTTGATTATCAACCATTAACTTGTGTCTCATCATTTCATTTCTCATCATTTGTACCTCAAATCACATTCTTTGGGTGTGTAGATCCGTAGGTTCCCTTTACCAAGGTAGTGGGTTGACTCAACTCCTCAGAGATGATATAGAAATTAAATTCCACAATTTAATTCTTCCTATTAATAAAGGTTAATTGAAACCTTTTAGGACATCTACAAACTATGGTTGTCGCCTAGCAACAAGTCACGGTTATCCGAGCTAAATGAGACAGTGTGAAAGAACCTATTCAAAATTGGAATGACTGTGCAATTGAATCCTTATCTTATGTCAATACTCCTTATTCACATTATTAGATCATGGAATCCGATTGTCAATATCCTAATGTGAATCATTCCTTTTATATGATTATCCTGGTAAGACTTGAAGACTTCTACTTTCAAGTCTTATCCACTACTTTGCACAGAGATTTGACCAATCATATCTTGGAGTATTCTCTCTCCTTTACTGAGAGTAGAGATTCCTTGTTGTACATTCATTTGTTTCCATGACTCTATTGAGAATCTTGATGAGCAACTTTAAGCTATGCCTAATTCAGCATGACTATATAGTGCCCTCAAAGATTAACATAGCCACAAAACATCTATGATGCCTCAGGTTTAAGGATTAGTTTGCATCATTGCAATTTATGAGTTCCAGCTTGACATGTGAGTAAAGACTTCCATGCTGTAACTCATATGCTGGATCGCGTTCAGTGTACTTATTCTTCTACAAGCACCTACACACATATCGATGTTTCTCCACACTTAATGACTTGAGACATTGCCATTCCCTACATATAAAGACAATACTGTGTGTACTGTTCTTTGCGGAATATTGACGCCCAATCAATATTCCTATGACCAGGAACATATTCAGGATTTGGGGATGATGAGAAGTCTTCATGTATGCAATCTCATTACATAGCTCTCATATCCACTAGTGTATTCCTTGGCCTGGTTGTTCTACATATTGAAAGATAACATAATATGTCTTTTATCAAAGATATCATTAACTCTAACTATTACATAATTAGTTGGCTTTAGGGGCATATTTCTAACATATTGAACTTAAA